CGGTGGGGGGGGCCGGGAGGGGATCAGGGGGAGGGAGACGGAGGGGGAGGAGAGCAGGGGGAAAGAATTGGCCGGCAGGGAGTGGGGCTGGCCGGGAGAGGGTTGGGGGGAACAGGGCTGGCTGGGGGGGAGCAGGGCTGGCCTGGGCCCGGCCACCCGCAGATCCCAGGGTGCTGCCTGTCCTGCGCATGGTCCCGGAGGAGCACGAGTGAGTCCGGCCCCAGGGATTCCATCCCGTCCCACCCGCGCTCGCTCCTCCCCACTGCGTAGTTGCGTATTGCCTGGCTGGTAGACACACTCACACAGTGTGACTCATGCAGTGTGAGCATGTCTACCAGCCAGGCAGTACGCAGCTACGTACTGATACTCGTAATAATCAAACTAATCTAATTAGTTTATATGTCCGGTATTTTCTCAATTTATTTCCTGGACAGAAACCTCAAATGCTGGACTTTCTGGTTCAAAACCAGACACCTGGCAACCCTAGTCCCAGGAGCGGACAGCAACAGGCCTTTCTACTAGGTGTGTGTGTGGCTGGGGTGTGGAGCGAGAGGACGGAAGGGGGGAGGAGAGTGCACAAGGCTCCGTGCACTGCCCCTACCCTGAGCACTAGCTTCGCACTCCCATTGGCTGGGAACAGGCCGCCGGCTGCTTCTCAGGCACAGCATGGTCTGTGGTGCCAGGAGAGGCAGGAAACTGCCTTAGCAACCCTGCTGCATCGCTGACCGGAAGCTGCTTAGCCGATAAGTGCAACTCTGCCTTTGAAGTGTAGCAACAGATTGTTGCTACACTTCAAAGGTGAAAGCACTGTGAGGAGCATGGGGCCAGTGGGGAACTCAAGCAGTCCCCCACTAGCCCCGTGCTCCCTGCGGCATTTCAAAGCAGCAGCACCGTATGGAGCCTGGGGTCAGTGGGAGAGTCCCCAAGCTCTGCACGGTGCTGCTGCTTTGAAATGACACGTGCAGCCTGGGGCCAGCTGGAAGTCCAGTACCCAGCTGGTCCTGGGCTGCATGTGGTGTTTCAAAGTGGCAGTGCCGCATGGAGCCCAGGGTCTGTTCCCGGGCTCCACACAGCGCTGCCGCTTTGAAGCACCCTCTTCTCCCCCCCCACCTTGCTGCCTCTTTCTGATAGAGGCAACAAGGGGGGGGAAGCGACTAGTTTATTCGATAAGCATTTGCTTATTGGATAGTCAACTAGTCATTCACATTCCTAGTAAAAATCAAGACATACCTAGTTAAGTGAAAACCCCTAGGCTCTGCCACTTTGTCAGACCCTCATTGCCAGTGCAGCACTACACTACATGAGTCTGATTAGGGCATTACAAAGAGGAGAGGTTCTCCAAGTCACCTGAGTGTGGCAGGAGGAATGGAGTAGACTGGACTAATCAATGCCTGGTGAATGATAGCTGCGAGGCTGTGTGTGTGTCTGGGAGGGGAGAGGGAACAGCTTGTATTCAGATCAGTGCCATATGTGTTCAGAGTAGGTTATAGGTCTGCTTGTGCAGTAAATATGGGAGTTGATGGCATTTCCGGGGCTAGCAATTATGTAACTCCTACACCAAGGCCATCCCAATGGCTGTGGTTCTTTACACTTGTACTGGGTTCTCAGCATGGTAGCACATTTGTGGTCCATACTGTGAAAGTGGGTAAAGACCATCACTGAACATTGTTGACGGACAGACAGAGTCAGAATTAAGGTTGCTTCTGGAATCTGAACTACTGAGTTTTTAGGCTTTAATTTTTTGAGCTGCTTCAGTTTTTTTGGCGGGGGGCATGAATACACTGGGGGTTTTAATAACTACAGTTTGAATGCTGCTTAATTTAACTGATATTTCCAACTCTGATTGAATCAAAGATTTTGTCTAAGAACTTGATTTTAAGAGAAAGCATTTAAAAACACAGATCTTGCTAAATGTTATAATTATTTTTTCCAACAGTAACTGTATATTGCTATAGTTGCTGATCTGTTACAAAGATGATACAGACTTTTGCAACAGAAGACAGTACAGTATAATATTTGAATCAAATACTCCCCTGGTAGCATTAGCAACCTCCTACTTCTCAAGCCAGGGGTCCATCTGATGTTGCTCGTACACAGCAGCCTTCTTTGCCTCTCCATCTCTTGCCCACACTCACCTTCGTGTTTCCGTTCTGGTTCTGCATTTTCTGGCTTCTGTTTGCTGCCATCATGACATATCAGCCTGCAAAGCAAAGTCCAGAGCCTAATCAAGGAGCTTTCTGGGAAAACAATGCTGGGAATGGTCTCAGGTCTGGTCTCTAGTCGAACTGATGACTCTGGTGGAGTCTCAAGCTGTAGGTACATCCTGATCTCTTGCAGTCTAGACCAGCAGGGGCAGAGAGCTATGTTGAGGCAGTACATGCCTTGGGTGGATGAGACCCGGTATTGCTTAATAGCACCTAGATCTATGCAAGTAAGCAGCAGAATTGGTGACTCCTGGAAGAGTCCCAAATGAGTCTCCTCAACGAAAGAAAGCACTGAACGAAGAGGTTGGGAGGCATCAACCGTCTCTCAAATTGGCAAATTGGAGTAACAGTCCTGAGAGTCAGAATATGAATTGCAGGGGGTGTTGAGTCATGATTGAGGTCCAGCAGCACAACTGTGCAAGGTGGAAGTCTAGGATGGGGACTGCAGGCCAGGACTGAGGGGCATTTCCAAAACTAAACAAAGAGCCAAGGATAAGAGTAGCAAGGGGTGAAGCAGGTCAGAATGGAGGTGTCCTAGCAAAGCTGAGGATAATGGTCAGGGCTGGATTAGCTAGTGCCGTGGTGCAGGATATAGGAGCATTGGTAGAGCTTAATAAGGAATGAGCAAACTCCCCACCCATGCAGTGCCAGCTCTGGAGCACTCAGAAGGCTTTCAGGAGAATAGCCCAGTGCTTGTTCAGATACAGATTCCATCTAATGCATTTGAACAGTACAATGCATGCTCTAGCTACTGTGGCTAATGCATCCCCAAAGCCATGGCAGGGATCCTTTTTCAATCTCCAAAACCCGAATGCCACTATTCTGACATCCCCTACTGCCATTTCCAGCACAGATTCCTTCTTTCCCAGCAATAGATTAAATGCAGAACCATTAAGCAGAACTGCTTTGCCAGCTGCTCCCTGCCCTTCCCCAGCATTAGGGAGGCTGTACGCTAGGCATACACCTGCTGTTGGTTACTCACGGAGCAGCAGTCAGACGCTGTCATCAGCAGGATGTCAGGAGCCGAGCGTGTCTGGTTGTGCTGTTCCAGGGAGCAGATTCTCAAACATAGATGTGTCTTACCACAGAATCACCACAAAACCCCACCTCCCAGCTGCATGGGTCAAGGTGTCTGCATGTTGCTGTGGTAACATGATAAATGGCTCTCTAGGGCCATATCAAATTCAAAAGATGTTTGCATAACCAGTCTGGAAAATACCCCCCCCCCCCCCCCCCCGCCATTGTGGGTCCAAGGAACTGAGACACAAGACCTGCATCTAACCCGACCATACCAAAGCAACACAACAAACAGGGAAAGAAAAATCCCTCAACATTAACACCTAGAGAGCAATGGAACCATGAGCAAAAGGCAGTCTGGGGACAGTCAGGTTTGCCAGCCCTGGTGGCTCTTGCTGGCAGAGTGACGTGTTAGTGGATGGTTGGAGCGCAACATGATGCACATATTTGGGACTGAGAGTGCAGCTCACACTTACTTGAGGATTTAGTGCATTGGAAAAAGATACTGCTGTGTGGATTGAAAACCTACAAGGGATAAAGAAAAAGGGGGATTTATTGAATTGGGAGAGGGATTCAGTGGGGAGCACAGCGAGTGTAATTAGGATTGGATTTATTTCACTTCTTCACTTGGAAGTGGCACATCAGTACAATTCTCAGAGACGGAGTTGGAAGGTGTGGTGAATGCTTAGAAGACAGAGAAATAAAGCAAAGGGTCATAGTCACATGAGAAGCCCAGAGGTATGCAGTGGGAAAGAGGAATCCAGGAGTCAGCAATGGCTGGCAAAAAGAGACTGGTTGTTTGCAGACATGATACTGGAGTGTTTTGAAACAGCCAGCAGCATATTGGCAGGGGAAGCCCCTTGCCACCAGAGCTGAAAGCCCCCTGCGCTGCGTGCTGACTGGCTGCTTCATACTTCTAGCTCCCCCAGCTCTGCAGACAGGGCACAGGTGGGGAATGACAGCGCAGGTCCTTGAATGCCCAAAGCTTCACAGATTCCCCCAAACAAAATAATGAGGGAGGTGTAAATCTCCCCCTCCCCACCACTGACCCACCCACCCACCTACCCTGGTTTTGGGGTGTGGAAAGCAGGTTCCTAGTAAAGAGTCCCAGGCAGGTGGAAGAGTGGGGGGACTGAGAGGCTGAGTCATGGGGAAGACAACTTCCCCCAAATAAAGAAGGTAGTGTACACAGGAGTAACATCCCCTCCCGTACCTCATACACCTCAAGCTGCAGGAGTCTGGCATTGTGTGCCTTCCTGACTGAGCTCCCCACCCAATGAAGGTGAAAAGGGAAAGGCAGCATAACACTGGGTAAGTGTTCCATCCCCGTGATGAGTCACTGCTCTCCAGACAGCAGGGCAAAGGGCAGCAGCTGCTCCAGAGCTGTAGCTCATGTATTTGGCAGTGGGTTCTCTCTTGGATTTTGCTATCCTTAAGTAAAAGTACAAATGATCAGTCAGGAGAGGGAAGCGTGTGGCTGAGCCTCCCTCCTGATTTAATTCCAGCTAAGACCAGACCCAACACAACCTCTGCCCTGCTAAAGTCACCACCCTACTGCTGGGCAAAGTGTCCCTCCCCCCCAGCACTGTCTTGACTCTCTCTCCTTCTCAGCCCCTTTAGAGCAGTGTTTCTCAACCTTTTTTTTTTATAAAGTACCCCCTTTAAAAAAAAACAATTTATAAGTACCCCCAGTACCTACAGTTTGCAGACACACAATTTTTTTTCTACCATTGCAACACATGTGTTTAAACAAACTAATCGTTGCCAGGCAGGGGACGACATTTTTGGGTGTAAAAAGTACAAAAATAATAAAACGCTGTAAAACTTCAAATAAAAATTCGGTTTTCTCCAAATTTCAGTTGTGTTGACGTCTCCCCCCGATTTCTCCCAAGTACTCCTAAGGGTACTCGTACCACTGGTTGAGAAACACTGCTCTAGAGCACAAAAGCCTCATCAAAAGATCCCCATTCATCTATCTCCTTGGTGTCCAACCAGTCCTGAAGCAGCAGCCACTATATCAGGGGTTGGCAACGTACAGCACAGGTGCCATAAGCGGCACGCGAGCCAATTTTGAGTGGCACATGCAGTCCATGGCAGGAGCTCAGCCCCCACTTCTGAAGCCTGCACAACCGCGAGACTTAAAGCACCAGCTCCAGCTTCTGGGCACAGGGGAGTGGGGGAGGTGAAGAAAACCCCAACCGGACCTGGCTCCCTACTCGTGTCCACCCCCAGTGTCCCTGAGAGCAGCCACGGCTCCCCACCCCGCTCCACCAGGCAATACAGAAATGCTGCACAGAGCCGGGACAGCCCCCCACCGTCCCTGTAGGATCGAGGCCCCACTTCTGCATGCAGCCTGCTGCTGCTTCGCCTGCCCCGGCCTCACCAGCATGCAAGGGAGCTGGAGGAGAAGGAAACAATGGGGTGGGGGAGTCCGATCCCACTGCCCCCGAGAGCCACCCCAGCTTCCCGTTCACTTCCACCGGGTGGCACAGGAACCTGGCGCAGAGCTTCAGGATTGAGGTCCCGCACATGCACTGCTGCTGCTCCGCCCACTCCAGCCCCACTGCTAAGTGGGGACCCGCGGGGTGGAGCAGGGGGAAGGAAAAGGCTGCCCAGCCCCGGGATCTGGCCAGTACTGTCCCCAAGCAGCCACCACCAAGGAGGTTATGAGGCAGTGGGGGATGGGGGCTGAGCGAGAAGGAAGCAATGGGGTGTGGGAGTCCATCCCTGGTGCTCTTGAGAGCCGCCCTGGTTCTCTGCCCACTTCCAACAGGTGGCACGGGGACACTGCACAGACTCAGGACACACCTGCCCTGTGAGAGGGAAGTGGGGGCCAGGGTGGGGAGGTAATGGGAGAATTGGGGTGTGTCGGGGTCAGGCTCAGAGGGTTGAGGGTTTTTGGAGTAGTTTTTTTGCTTCTCACTTGTGTGGCCCCCAACTTATTTTTCTGTGGGTCAGTGGCCTCCAACCCAAAAGAAGTTCCCCACCCTTGCCATAAATAAAGAAAATATTGAAACCTTTTGTGTCGGACATAAATTGATATTTTACTTTATTTAAAATTAAGTTTGATAAACTAACAAGAGAAAATTAAAATGCTTCATCTGTTTAATAATTTAAATTAAACCATTCCCCTTAGCTGCAGCACTATCAAAATGGCTTGGGTATAATTATGTAATTAATAGCAACTGGTGATCTGCAGAAAGGTTTGCATTGAGCCAGGTGGTCCATGGACCAAAAAGTTTGAGAACCACTGTGCTAGAGGGGGAGTGCTGCCAGGGCTGTGGCTCTGGGACTGGGCAGCAGCAGGGGCGACTGAGGAGAGAGGAAAATGAGTGTGGGGGGGTGTCTCCTACCCCAAAGCTATGTTGGCCCTGGGGTGCCTAGGTCCCTGGCAGGAAGGTGAGGACACCATGGACCGGATTCCCATGGGACTCTGCCCACAGCAGGGCTGGACACCCCAGGTTACCCACCTACCCATTTCCCTGAACCCTCCCCCAAGCCACTCTGACCCCAGCCCATGCTGGTGATCCAGCATCATCCCCTCCCCTCCTCCCATACGATGAGCCAGCGTTGGCTTCCTGCGGGGGAGGAGGAGAAGCCCCAAGGCTCCGCGCCACATCCAGCTTCTGGGGAAGCACACATGCTGCTCCTCTCTTCCCCACAGGAAAAGCTGGTGCAGAGCCCAGGCCCAGGGCAGGAAATCTAGTAGGGCGGGTGGTGGTGATCAGATAGTGTAAAATTACTCAAGAAGCATCTGACTGCTGGTGATGCAGTAGCGGAATAAACTCTTTTCAAATCAGAGCTAAAGCAAGTGCCTTGCATGTTGTTCAAGGGCACCATGCTGCTGGAAGGGCCATTTTCAACTGGCTTGTGGCTCTTTATGTTAGTTCCGAGGCTCCCCTAGGGCCCAGTTTTGATCATTATACTGTGCCCTATCCCCCATTTCAATAAGAGTGAACAAAACTGCCCAATCCTAAATGGTTATGCATTAAACATATTCAGCAATTCACTCTACATCTCTGGGACCCTTCTGGGGTGAATACACAGTGGGCTCTTACTACATTTGAAGTGCAGAGCTGCTGCAGAAGCAGTTGATGGAGAGTCTATTGATTAGTTAATTAACTGATACTTAACATCCCTACCACTCAGTGGGCCCTTCTAGCTGGGAATCACCCCAATTTTTTAGTAAGTTACCCTTTATACCTGCAAGCTACAATTAACCCATTGATGCTAAGAAAATAGCTACAAAAGTGGAAGTCTATTTTATGTGTGACCCCTTCCCAACAAAGATGTCAGATCATAATTTAGCTTCCTACAAGTAAACAAAATAAAAAAAATCTGTAAACAAAGAGAAATTAATTTCCTCTCCCCCAAAGTAGATCAACATAGCTCCTCTTATCTACATTAGCTCATTTCATTATAAAACAGGGTGATGGCAAGCTGCTGCCCATCACCTCTGATGGGGAGTATGGCCAGGAGCCTACTAGTTAAGAGATGGAGCTAAGAAAGGAGAGGAGGGCCATGGCGACGACAGATTCCAGCATGCAACACTCCATCTTGGGCTAAGCAGCCAGGACACACAGTACACTGGGACCTGTAATTTTGATGAGCTGCACTTCCACATTAAAAAAGGCAGCAGTGTAGCACTTTGCAGACATTCAGTCTCCAGGCCACGCTTTTGCCACTTAATGGACAGCATCCTCCTGTTTAAAAACACTTCATTGGAATATTAACAGTGGGCACATCAAACATGGCCCCTTGTAGAGAAAAGACATGAGATTAACAGGGGCATGTTATTAACCTGGTTGCAGAACTCCAGGTCCTTTGCTTTTCAGAAAAGCAGAATGGGCAATGATGCTCTTTAATTTCTGCCTACAACTGAGTTCTGGTAATATTAATCAGCTTCCATATTTGCTCAAAGACTGGGGGTGGGAAGTCTCTGTATTGGTGGAGAGCAGAAATCAGAGGCCAGGCTCAGACCGAGAGAAGGGGTCCTTTTGGCTCTCGTCTCACAAGTAAATTCTACAGATGCTGAGCCACAGATGCTTGTGAAAGTGGGATTTCTGTAATGTCAGTCTCCTTCACCCAAAAGGATGTCAGACAATGCACATCTTACACATTAGACAATTAGGCAGAGCATTTCCTCAATAATTAAAGGCAACATTCCAACCTAGGTGGCTTGGAGAACAAAAGGGACTTCAGAGTGGTAGAACCCACACAGAAAGGTGACATGAGAAAGCCACTTGTCCTTATCCAAGCAGGTGGCCATGACAGGGGGGAACTCTAGAGAGAGTCAGAAAAAAGATTATCTTTTAGCACGTGTCTATCAAAGGATTTTGGCATCAGCAAACTCAGTCCAATAGTGTACATTTTCTTTTTAGACAAAACCCAATGGCTTTCAGTCCATCTCACTCACCAGCAGCCCTGGGGCTGGTCTCTCTCAAACGCGTGAAGATTTAAAATGGATTATATTTGAAAACTTTCAGCAAAACTAAAGCAGTATCAGTGCAAAAGCTGCTTCCGAGAGTACAGAAATCATCACCCTTGTGTGATTGCAAGGGTTGTGTGTGGATTTGGGAGAAGGCCAGTGCTGAAGAATAGTGCCAGATCAGCAGTCATGGAGACTGAAATCCTTTCTTTATCCCCAGCATGAGCAGCACCGAAGTAAGCTTGCCACACATATCGAGGGAAAAAAAGTGCACCTAATCATGACCTGGAAGAACCCTGCTAGAGAGGAATTCAGATTCCATGGTCTAAGCAATCCTTGCTTTGCATTATCAATAAGGAAGACAGATGGGGTGGTAGTTACTGGATTATACAGACACCTATTTTACTAGGAGCTAGATCCAATACCACAAATACATATTCAATGATGGCCATTGTATCACCAAACAGGAGCACTCTCCAGTTACTACCAGCTTATGCTGGATTTCAACAGCGACCTACAGATGAAAAGTTCCATGAATCCAATTGCTAGGCCTTTGGCATCATCTAATCTTGTCAGAGAACTCATGTTTTGATCCAGCCCATGTGAATTCCAGTTCCTAAAGCCTTCCTGGTACCAACATGCTCGAATGTGGTTAAAAAAATAAAGAGACAACTGATCGCATGAATGGTCCCCATCTCTATTGGTGAATGTTGCCTTTCCAGTATCAGCACCACTTCTTATGGCTTTTTGTATATATACACAGTTTTAGTTGCCTATGCAGCTCTTCCATATGTTTATGTTCAAATACAGAGACAGTAACATCTCCTTAACTAGCAGCAATTTGTAACATCTTGATTTCCATGTTGTACAATATTCTTTAAGGAGGTTTTGCTCAGTCCTTGCTTAGCCTCTTCACTATTCTCCTCTGAAATGTAATACATCACAGCACAGAGCAGCCCCTGACTAAGGGGATACCAGGAAGAAGGAGGAAGTAAAGCTGATTTCTCCAGAGAACAAACTACATATGAAGAATGATTGTCAAACGTGTTCATTTTAAAAATATCATCCTGGGATTGAAAGCTGCCCGGGAAGCAAAATTGCTAGCTCATTGTTGTGATGCAGCTGCTCTCAGATCAGTGTTTCAGCTTCATATGTGGACTTACTACTGTGAAGATCCCCACCACGGAGGAGAGGAGGCCACAGAGCCCAATAATGCCTGGATTGGTTTTGTAGATTCCCAGCTGGTCCAAGGGACTAGAAAGATCACAAAGGTTCTTCACGGTGTCTAGTAATAAAGGAGGATGCTTCCTTAGTGCATGGTACAGCAGGAGGAGAAAGGGCTGCAACCCGCCAGTTCCCATGCAGATCAGGTCCTGGTCTTCTTCATCACAGTGAGAAGAGTTCTCCTTCTTTGCCTTCTCCCTTTGAGCCACCTGTTCCATCCTCCAGGAGATCTCATACAAATCCCTGGTCAGATTCATCAGCAGTGAATAGTAATAGCATTTGGTAGCCCAATTACGCCACTTCTGCTTGTCAATATCAGTGATGAGTCCAACACTTTTCACCCACAAGACTGTGTCACAGATGAAATATAAGACACGGTTGATGTTGGAGGCTGTCAGGCAGAGTCGGGGCACCAGGTCTGGTAGCTGGGTTGTTCGCCTGGCTGCTACCATAGCATGCACTATGTTGCCCAGTCTGAACACTGCAAGAGAACCCAGAGAAGTTAGCATGGCTCACTCCCTCTAAGGTGCCATCCTGCAGGCTGCCATCCAGTTCTGCTTCTCAACAACTAATTGGTCTTTCAGGCCTTGTATATTGAAATATTGTCCTTTCATTTGAGGTTAACTTTGTATTAGCACAAGCAAGAGGTTGACAATAGTAGAGCCATCTACAGTAGATACAGTTCAAGGTTGCCCCACATAGTTTCACTGATGCATCTTAGTACTCGCTTGAAGTATCCCTTGCCATTCCAGTCCTAGAATCTCCACACAACTCTGACAAAGCCCACCTGCCTGTTGTCACCTAGAACACCCTCCACTACTCCAGTCTCATTTTGGGGGTCACTTCTGAACAGTGATTACACCATAGAACTTAGCATGATTAATAAGTCAGAGAATATAGACAGACAGTCTTCTGTAACCTGAAGAGGATTTAACTCAGCTCCTTGAAAGGAAGGTGCTAATGTACGAATCCCATTGAATCCTTGAGCTACCACCTTTCTAAATTATTCTTGAGGGCTAATGATTGACTGTTTGACCAACTGAGAACAATGCCTTTCTTGAGCTGCACATTTTTAGGATGATTTTGCTAGTTAGTTCCCTGCCCAAAGGTGTTATATATTTCAGTTCACAGCAACAATTACGACAAATCTGCTTTCACTTATTCCACAACATTGGCTCCACCATGTGTATTCTGAGCAATACTAATACAACACAGCAAGTAATAAAGTGAGTGTAATTCTGATGGGGGAGGAAGAGTGTACCTACTATATTTCATGAGTATGCAAAATGAGGTCCTCTGATCCTGGACTACGTGGTAAGTTAACTATTTAAGAGCTGGCACAACTGACTTCTGCTTAGATGGAATAAGCAATATGAAGTAGGACCAATCCTCTGGACATGGGGTACTTACATTTACGGCCAGAGCGCATGCTAGATTCCAACTGCTTGAGCTTCATTATCACCATCTCTTTGTCAGCCTTACTTGCTAATAAATAGCTAAGCAACATGCATGTGTATTGAATGGCTCTAGGAAAAAAATGAGAAAAATGGTTCACAGGAGACACAAAGACCATTCAGGGGAGGCAGGGGAGAGAAAGGAATGATTTCATCCCAAGTATGGGACTCTCCATGGAACTTATTCATGCTACAGCACCAAGAGATACAAAGATCACACAATGTTGTAAAGTTCAACACTTTAAGACATGAAGTGTGAAAAACAATACAAATGCAATGTGAACATGACAATGGGGGACCATGCACCTGGCAGCCAATAAAGGGTTTCGTTGGGCACATTTGGTGGCAATGTAAATGAACACTGCCTGAAACATCCACATGCACTTATTGCAAAAATGCTAGCTTGCAGCAAGGCTTTGGGTCTACAAAGGGATTAAGCCAGTTTTCCTGATGGAACAAGATGCAGATCAGCAGAAAATTCTTTTCCAGAGTCTGCAATTTGTATTGTGGCCACAGCAATCACTAAGCAACAATAGATACTCATTGGAATGGGTAGAATATGGAGAGATGCCATGATTATTCCTGCATAAACTAAGTAACTTGAGATGGTTGGTGGCAGGTCACTGGAGAACCTGTCCCCTATACATCTGGGGAAAGTGGCCACAGATCAGGAATAGCCACAGGCAGCAAGGACCCGACTCTTACTTTTCATCCAAAGCCTGGTGGCTCCCTGCAGCACAGCATCCCTGACACTGCACAGGGGCACTGCTACTACTACTACACGCCCCCATAGTGAGCCCCACAGCACCCTGGGACCAGTTCTGATTGGGGGAGTATGCCCCATACCGAGCCCCACAGCACCCCAGACACTGCACTGGGGCCAGCACTGACCTAGGGGGCGTGCCCCACACCGAGCCCCACAGCGCCCCGGGCACCGCACTGGGGTGGTAGTGGTACTACTACTACTACAGGCCCCGGCAGTGTCTCCCACCAGCACCGAGCCAAGGGAGGCTCGGGTAAACCCGAGCCCCCGAGCCCACTCACCGGAAGAGCCGATCCCGGCCCCGGGTCTGGTTGGTGAAGTTCATAAACGCCTCCATGCTGCCGGGGGAGCCCCTCAGCCTCCTGCAGTGCCTGGACTCTGGACGCCGGGGCCACTTCTTTACCCCGCCCGGGCACACGGACAAGCTCCGCCCCGGGCTGCCGGGCCCGGAACCCTCCACCTCCGGCCTTGTCTCCACCCGGACCGAGCTCACCTCGGCAATCACCCGGGAATGGGGATCCCCTCGGCAACTCCACTCGCCGGAAATGGGAATCCCCTCAGCGCCCGCCGCCGGGAATGGGAATCCCCTCGGCAATCACCCGGGAATGGGGATCCCCTCGGCAACTCCACTCGCCGGAAATGGGAATCCCCTCAGCGCCCGCCGCCGGGAATGGGAATCCCCTCGGCAATCACCCGGGAATGGGGATCCCCTCGGCAACTCCACTCGCCGGAAATGGGAATCCCCTCAGCGCCCGCCGCCGGGAATGGGAATCCCCTCGGCAATCACCCGGGAATGGGGATCCCCTCGGCAACTCCACTCGCCGGAAATGGGAATCCCCTCAGCGCCCGCCGCCCGGAATGGGGATCCCCTCGGCAACCCCCCGGGAATGGGGATCCCCTCAGCGCAGGATGGACATAACTAATTCCAGGAGACCCCGTGGAAATGCAGTGACCGGGTCTCCCACCTGCGAGTCAGGTTTGGAGGCCGACCTTGCAGCAAGATACCCCATAATCACCTGGCCTTCAGGATCACATCAAAGCCTGCCCCTCATGTATCCATCTCCCCTGCGCTCCGTCCCCTGAAGATCGGAGCATGGATCCCGATTCGAACACAAGCAGTTGTGGTTGTTTTGTTCAGGGTGTCCAGGCAATCCTGCAGCTTCCAGCCCACAGGCGCCGATGGCTCACCCCACTTTCTCTGTATGAGTGGCTGGGCAAAAGAACCCTACACAACACTTGCTTAATGGGTGACATTTCAGAGCTTCTCCAGGGTCATCATTGCCTGAGGCAGAGACTAGGGGAAGAGCTTGTATAATTTGAGCTCTCAGCCTGTGGGTGTTTGGCTAAGGGTGTGTCTAGACTACCTAGTTTTGTCGACAAAAGTGGACTTTTGTCGACAAAACTATACTAGCGTCTACACTACCGCTGAGTTCTGTCGACATAACGTCGACAGATCTCAGCAGTTTTGTCGACGCTGGTAAACCTCATTTTACGAGGCATAACACCTTCTGCCGACAGAACTCTGTTGACAGAAGGTGTTATTGCCTGTAACGTTGCGTCCAGACTACGGAGTTCTGTCGACAAAGCAGCTTGCTTTGTCAACAGAACTCAATGTGTCTGGACGCTCTTTGTCGACGGAAGTTTTGTCGACAGTATCTGTCGACAAAACTTCCGTCGACAAAACGCGGTAGTCTAGACGTACCCTAAGGTAGCAGCAGCCTTGGGGTATGTCTAGACTACAGGCTTTTGTCAACAGAAGTTCTGTCGACAGATACTGTCAACAAAGCTTCTGCCGACAAAGAGCATCTAGACTACATCCAGTTCTGTCGACAAAGCAAGCCGCTTTGTCGACATGACAGTGTAGACGAAAAGGACAGTGTACATTCAATAATGCCTTCTGTCGACAGAACTCTGTTGACAAAAGGCGTTATTCCTCATAGAATGAGGTTTACAGCCGTTGACAAAGCTGCTGAGTTCTGTCCACGTTATGTCGACAGAACTCAGCAGCAGTGTAGACGCAGGTATAGTTTTGTCGACAAAAGTCCACTTTTGTTGACAAAACCCTGTAGTCTAGACACACCCTTGCTGGCTCAGCTGGGTCTGTGCTCATTTATTAAAAACAAACAACTCTTGGGCCTTGTCTTCACTGTTAAAAAAGGGCTTTTTTTTTTTTAACCCCAGGGCCGTTTTGAGGTAAAATATAGTGAAGATCAGGCACTTCAATTTTACTGTGAGGTAAACTCACCGAGGACAACACTATATTTAATCTATTTTGCCTTGTACTAAAACTAAAGTATCTTGTCTTTACTACGTTTTTATCTTGAGTTTATGTGCATTGGTTACACTGAAGGAAAAACACCTGCTTTTAGCAGTAAAGACAAGGCCATCAAAGAAAACGTGAGTATGCCCAAGGTGTTAGGATTTGATTAAAGTCCATGTATTATGATCCCACAGTACTGTGCTAGGAAACCTTTCAATTTGCAACATCTGTATACAGCTCGCTGTAACTCTGCAGGAAAATGACTCTTTTGTGCTGGAAAAATGTTTTTGTTTTCAGTCCAAAGGGGATTTTTGGAACAGTTCCATTTGACTCTTTCTGATTTGTGTCAATAGGAAATGTTTTGTTTTTAAAGTAGTTTTAGATGATATTTATGTGCTCTGATCATTGTGGTAAAGCCCCAAAGCCACCTATCAGGTATGGAATCTTTTTGTTCTAGGGACTGCACAAACATCTACGAAATTACAAGCTCTGTCAGTTAATTTAAGATCTTCTAACTTACAAAAAGCTTAGTTCACAATGACATAGGCCTTTAACTAATGCGAAGAAACATAGTTTAGAAAAAATAAAGTTCTAAGCAGCTTGAAAAGTGTAAACAAATCATATCTCTGACTTTCTCCAGGCTCCATAAGCGGGGAGACAGGCAAAAAGCTGTCTACCTGTATCCTAATCTATCTGTAACACTACACCTAAAACCTGTATAACTATCTGTATATTTTAAATGTCTAATCATCTGTGTACTTTAACCTGCATATATCCACATAGATCAGAGGTAGGCAATAATTTTTGCGTGGGGGGGGCCACTTCAAAAATTTTGGAAGTAGCCCTGGGCCACCCCAGAAGGGGCAGGGCCTAAACATGAAGGGGCAGGGCCTAAACACGAAGGGCAGGGCTACACCACCCCCAGACCATGATTGGTCTAGGGGAGGGGGAAGCCTCTTTGCCCTCCCTTCCCACTAGGCACCCATGCCCTGGAAGAGGCTTGGCACGCTCCCCCACCCCCAGGCCAATCAGGGCCTGGGGGCAGGGGAGCACGCAAAGCCTCCTCCCTCCCTGCCAGGAGCATGTGGCGCTTTGAAGCACTGGGGGCTCCTCGCAGGGCCGGGGCAAGGTGAAGGAAGCTTCACGCAGCTCCTACGCCCTGATTGGCCTGGGGACGGGGAAGCGCAGAAAGCCTCGTCCGCGCTCCCCCCCACCCTGCAAGCAGTGTGCGGCGCTTCAATGCACCATGTGCTCCTGACAGGGCCGGAGGAGGCTTCACGTGCTCCCCCACCCCCAGGCCAATTAAGGCCTGGGAGCGGGGGAGCGCGCAAAGCCTTCTCCGCTCTGCCCCTGCCCTGCAAGCAGCATGGGGGCAGAGCAGAGAAGGCTTTGGGTGCTCCCCTGCCCCCAGGCCCTAATTGGCCCAGGAGCGGGGGAGCAGCAGGACCTCCACGGGCTGGATCCACCCGCTTGGCAGTCCGAATCCGGCCCGCAGAGGCCCTTTTGCTTACCCCGACATAGATGGTACTCACATGGCACAGTACTTAGCTTTAGTGGAGACCATGGCGAGACAATGGGAAAAGCAGAAGTGAGCCCTACAAAATAGATATAATCATTTCTCCATATACAAATAGGAAGCTTCCTTTTTTGTTATAGCTAGTTCCTAAGTATTACGTTCTGTTTCCTCCTATTATCTCTAAGATCTGTTTATTGTAGGATTTCCTGGGTTTCTTCATCTACTGTGATTTCATTTACGGTAGGATTTCCTGGTCTCTTCATTTAGTGTTGAGCACCTGTGTTATAATCACACTGAGGAAGGCAGAAAGATGTCAGGATATATCCGGAAAAATCCCCTGGAGATCCCTCCACCCTCTGAAAAGGACTGGATTAAGAAGGATGAGGAGGAAAATTTTTTCCTGCAGGATCCTGATCAAACCTTTGATTCATTACCTCAGCCATTCCGGATGATCAATAAACTGGTGACCCTAGTGTTTGAGCAGGCCTGGGAAATCATTGAGAAGAGGGAGGCACTCCAAGAGGCACAGACACTGAAGGTCCAGCCCACATCATACCTCCCCACAGCTGAATTCCAGGTACTGAGACCCTTCACAGTTATCACCTATCATGGCAACACTTCACCCAGACAGTGTCAGTTTAGTTCCCTTTGCTTTTTTCTTTCATTGTCACCCCTCTGCCCGGTCACATTTCTGAGACTCCATTAGCATTTCCCTCACTTTCATTTTCATTGAACAAAGCTGCAGCTCTAAGCTTGCTCATCTGAGACGTACTTGACATGGCCCTTTTAGAGTCCATCACCCCTTCCTGTAAGAGGAGAGGTGGTATTAAATCATGAGAGGCTTGCCCTCTGTTTCTCTGCCCCAGACTGACCCTTGTCCCTGCTTAATCTGGAGAAGTTGATGAGACTGATCAATCCCCTTATCAGGGGATGGCAGGCCAGAGTCATTTTCTCTTCTGCTTTGTTTTTCATCTCTGCAGGTGATGGGAAGAGCCAACTGCCTTGCAGCCTCTGGACAGCATGTCTTTGTTGGGCTCTCCACTGGGCTTGCAGTCTTCAACATGCCCACCTGTAAGCAGGTCTGTGTTTGGGAATCAGCCAAACTAGAGATTTGTGCCATCCGTGCCTCCAACCTTGGCAATGAGACACACCTTCTCATTACTGTGGATGAGATGGGTAGGTGCCCCATAATCTTCATCAGGTCTCACCTGAGGAGGACTTTGAAAACACGCTTGTGTACCATGAGGCAAGGGGGAAAGTGGCATCTATTCAGTACAAAAGACTTAAAAAGCAGAAAGGAAATAAACAAGACTAAAACATTTCTGAGAGTATCCTGCAAACAATGGGGCTAGTCAACAGACTTCAGAGTGGGGATACCCAATGGCCAATGCCCTAGAGGGGGACCGGAGTTTGTTTTCCCTCTCTGGGGTATAGCAGAGGTTGGTCACATGGGGAAAGTAGCACACTCAGTTCTCTCACATTCTGTAGCAATACCCTGGGCCAGACAAAGAATAATGTTGCTGGGCTTCAAGGAAAGGCTTTTATCCAGCCCTTCCACTTCAGGGATGGTCCGCATGCTGCAGTGTAGAGGTTAGGACAAGGAGAGTCCAGTGGTCCCACCATGATATTAGTGCATGCAGCAGTCCCAGAAGGGTCTATTGGATTCTGGTTTCTCTCACATTCTGTAGCAATACCCTGGGCCAGACAAAGAATAATGTTGCTGGGCTTCAAGGAAAGGCTTTTATCCAGCCCTTCCACTTCAGGGATGGTCCGCATGCTGCAGTGTAGAGGTTAGGACAAGGAGAGTCCAGTGGTCCCACCATGATATTAGTGCATGCAGCAGTCCCAGAAGGGTCTATTGGATTCTGGTTGAGG